CCCAAGAGGGCTCCAGGAGCGCCGAGAGAACCCCAGGATCGCTTCAAGACCGCCAAAGATCGCTTCCAGAAGGGTCAAGAGGCGCTCAAACCGCCCCAAGAGGCCTTCAAGAGGCCCCCCACGAGCGCCCCGGGAGACCAAAATAGCCCCATTCCCTTCGTAAAACGTACATTTTTACGATATCAGCTCCCTTAGCTGTCGGAGCGGCCAGAAAGCCCCACGAGGCGCCCAAGGACGCTCCAGGACGACTGAGGACAGCCCCAAGACGGCCCAGGAGGGCCTCCCGGGACGCTCCTCCGGCGGCCCCGGGGCTGCCCAGTCCGCCCAAGAAGGCTCCAAGAGCGCCGAGAGAACCCCAGGATCGCTTCAAGACCGCAAAAGATCGCTTCCAGAAGGGCCAAGAGGCCATCAAACCGCCCCAAGAGGCCTCCAAGAGGCCCCCCAAGAGCGCCCCGGGAGACCAAAATGGCCCCATTCCCTTGTAAAACGTACATTTTTAGGATATCAGCTCCCTTGGCTGTCGGAGCGGTCCGAAAGCCCCACGAGGCGCCCTAGGATAGTCCGAAGACAGCCCAGGAAGGCCTCCCGGGACGCTCCTCGGGCGGCCCCCGGGCCTCCCAGTCCGCCAAAGAAGGCTCCAAGAGCGCCGAGAGAAGCCCAGGATCGCTTCAAGACCGCCAAAGATCGCTTCCAGAAGGGACAAGAGGCCATCAAACCGCCCCAAGAGGCCTCCAAGATGCCCCCCAAGAGCGCCCCGGGAAACCAAAATGGCCCCATTCCCTTCGTAAAACGTACATTTTTAGGATATCTCATCCCTTGGCTGTCCGAGTTGTCAGACAGCCCCAGGAGGCGCCCAAGGACGCCCAGGACGCCTGAGGACAGCGCTAAGAGGGCCTAGGAGGGCTTCCTGGGACGCTCCTCGGGCGGCCCCCGGGCCTCCCAGTCCGCCCAAGACGGCCCAAGAGGTTCCCAAGAGGCGCCCAAGACGGCCCGAGAGGGCGCCAAGACGGCCAAAGAGGCCCCCAAAACGGCCCGAGAGGGCCCCAAGACAACCCCAAGAAGGCCCCAGGATGCCCCTAGAGGCCCCCAAGAGGCCCCCAAGAGGCTTCCAAGAGGTGCCTAAGAGGCCTCAAAGAGGCCCCAAGAGGCAAGGCGGCAGAGAGTCGGCGAAGGCAGTTTCCATACCATGCCCGGCCCGGCGCATTGGAGGGGGATGGGGAGGACGAGGAGGGGGAGGGGAGGGACGGGGATGAGGAGGAGAAGGAGGAAAAGGAGGAGGAGGAGGGGGAGGAGGAGGAGGAGGAGGAGGGGGAGAAGGAGGAGAAGGAGGAGGAGAGGAGGAGGAGGAGGAGGAGGAGGAGGAGGAGGAGTGGGAGGAGGAGGGCGATGAGGAGGAGGAGGAGGAGGAGGAGGAGGAGGAGGAGGAGGAGGAGTTTGAGCAAGTGGAAGAAGGAAGGATTCAGAAGGAAGGAGGAAACGGTGGAGCGGGGATGAGCCTCTTCATTTGAGATGTTGAGGCGTTCGGGTTCGATTTCTGGGCTCGGGTCTTCGGTCTCAAGGTTCAAGTCTAAGGGTGAGGGTGTCATGGAAAGATTGTTCGGGTTTGAGTGCTCTCGTGGATCTTCTTGGGAGCCTCATGGGCCCTCTTGGAGCCATTTTGGGCCGTCTTGAGGCCGTCTTGGGCTGTCTTGGGGCCATCGTCGGCCATCTTGAGGCCCTCTTGGAGTCCCAAGAGGCCCAAGAGGCCGAAATTGTTGATTTTCCATAGGTCTTTCTATGTTTTGAGGCCCAGAATGAGGCCCTCCAGATTTGGTCCGACGATGTGGCGCGGCTCCAAGGGGGGGGGGGGCAGACTATTTGCAGAACAATACATAATTAAGCAGATGTAACAAAGTATGCACTCGTTTGGATACACTCGACCACGTTGCATTAAAGCATCCGCGGGCTGGCCTCTGGCAACACGTCATTTTCGGATCGTTAGATTTCCCGCGAATCGCCACGGAATCGGAACCAGTGTGGCGACAACCCGTTTTCGGAGCAAACTAGAACCTAAGCGCGCGCGTAGCGCCGCGCGTGGTTCTAGTATATATATAAAAATAAGATATATCATACCACATCTATAATATATTATATATATATATATAAATATATATATATAGAAATAATATATAAACATACATAGTTTTTTTTATTATTATACATATATCCACATATATATATATGTATATATAATAATAATATCCGGCAAAGCAACCTAACCGCGATGTGTAGAAGCATATCTGAAAGCATTCTCCTTAAGATTCAGATGAAAATCCAGTTGTCGAATTCTGCTGTTCTCGCAGTCGTAGTCGCATTCGCGATGACAGTCGCAGCGGCAACGGCAGTCGCAGTCACAGCCTCAGCCTCAGCCTTCCTCAGCCTCAGCCTCAGCCTGCCTCAGCCTCAGCCTGCCTCAGCCTCAGCCTCAGCCTGCTTCAGCCTCAGCCTCAGTCTGCCTTCAGCCTCGGCCTCAGCCTCAGCCTGCCTCAGCCTCACCCTGCCTCAGCCTCAGCCTCAGCCTCAGCCTGCCTCAGCCTCAGCCTGCCTCAGCCTCAGCCTCAGCCTGCTTCAGCCTCAGCCTCAGCCTGCCTCAGCCTCAGCCTCAGTCTGCTTCAGCCTCAGCCTCAGTCTGCCTTCAGCCTCGGCCTCATCCTCAGCCTGCCTCAGCCTCAGCCTGCATCAGCCTCAGCCTCAACCTCAGCCTGCCTCAGCATCAGCCTGCCTCAGCCTCAGCCTCAGCCTGCCTCAGCCTCAGCCTCAGCCTGCTTCAGCCTCAGCCTCAGTCTGCCTTCAGCCTCGGCCTCAGCCTCAGCCTGCCTCAGCCTCAGCCTGCATCAACCTCAGCCTCAGCCTCAGCCTGCCTCAGCATCAGCCTGCTTCAGCCTCAGCCTCAGCCTCAGCCTCAGCCTCAGCCTGCTTCAGCCTCAGCCTCAGTCTGCCTTCAGCCTCGGCCTCAGCCTGCCTCAGCCTCAGCCTGCCTCAGTCTCAGCCTCAACCTGCCTCAGCATTCAATCACGTGCTCGACGATCGTTTGCAGAGGACCTCTCAATGCAGCACGCTGAGGAGCAGCGCTGTTCTCTGCCGCAGGCTGAGGAGCACCGCTGTTCAATGCAGCAGGGTCAGGAGCACCGCCGCCAGACCGAGAACTATCAGCATGTCCTGGCATTACGGTGTGCAGTAGGCGCTGCGCAGTTCCTTTGAAAGGAAATCTTCGAAAGCAGGGCTGTAGCCAAGAAGGCTACGGGGACGATGTTGATGATGATGATGATGAGGAGGATGATGATGATGATGATGATGATGATGATGATGATGATGATGATGATGATGATGATGATGATGATGATGATGATGATGATGATGATGATGGTGATGATGATGAGGATGATGACATGATGATGATGATGGTGATGATGATGATAAGAAGATTGATGAGACATATGGGAAGTTGGGAAGTGGAAAGAGCAAGAAGTGACGTTACAGTGGCTCCGGGATCAAAATGGTGGCCCTGGGAGTGGAGTTTGAAAATGGAAGAGCACGAAGTGGCTACAGTTGGCTCCGGGCATCAAATGTGGCCCCGGGGGAAAAAAAAAAAAAATGGTGTTCTGGGAAGTCCAAGAGCACGAAGTGGCCTACAGTTGGCTCCGGGCATCCAAAATGTGGCCCGGGCATTGTGTTGTGGGAAGTCCAAGAGCACGAAGTGGCTTACAGTTGGCTCCGGGCATCCAAAATGTGGCCCGGGAATGGAGTTCTGGGAAGTCGAAGAGCACGAAGTGGTTTACAGTTGGCTCTGGGCATTCAAAATGTGGCCCGGGAGTGGAGTTCTGGGAAGTCGAAGAGCACGAAGTGTGTGACTGTTTGGTTAAAACGAGCCCGGCCCTGAGCCCGGCCCTCGCTGTCCGGATGCCGCCCAGACCTCCCTTGTGAGTCATCAGATGCTTTCTTTTGACACCACTAGAAACCTATCTGTCTTCGCTGTTAGGTAAAAATCCACTTCGGTGCTGGCGCCGATTCCGTGGCGACGGCCCCGGAAATAGATGGGGGCCTTTCGGTTGATCAGTCTAACTCCGCTCTCGAGCGTCCTTGCCGTCGTGGTTGTGTTTTGGCTCGGACCTGTCTTCGAACTTCGGCCCTGAGTGCAGTGATGGAGAGGCGCCCGGCCAGGGCGCGGGGGCGGCCTCCCGCGGCTCGCCCGGGCGCCCTCCTGGGCCCCGCGCGCAGACGCTGATGGGCTGCCTCGCAGGCGAGGCCGGCGACGGAAACATCTTCGAGTCGGATTCGGACCTTGACTCTGGGGCGGGGGCTGACCGATCGACAGCTGCCGGGCGCGGGGTCTGTGACCCCGCGGGCGCGGCCGGGAACCGACGGGGGCGCCGGGGCGTTCCTGGGGCGAGCGGCGGATGGGGGCGCCTCTCCGCCCCGCCCTAGGGCCAGGCCCGCAGGGCGGCGGGCGCGACCGCGTGGCCGACGAGGCCGCGGGCGGCAGCGAGAGCGACGACTCGTCCGACCTCGAGGAGTGAGCGGCCGCGGCGGAGCCTGTGCCGGCGCGGGGAGGGCCGCGCCCGACAGGCCCTCGCCGCGCTGATGGGCGGCGGCGCGCTGTCCGCCCGGCTAATGCCGCTGGGGGTCAGGTCGGCGGCGCCGGCGGCTGCTGCCCACTGCCGCCAGCGCGTCCGAGAGTTTTTGAGTTTGGGCCCCTATTCGCCTCGGTCTTGGAACGGCTCGAGCGCCTCGACGCCGTGCTGGTGGCCTTCAATGGCCATGAGTTCGAGAACGGCCACGAGAGCACGAGGGGCGAGAAACTGCTGGCCGGGGCGATCTTCCACGTGCCTCGGCTTGGGCGACGCGGCGCCGATCGCCCGCCGCGCGCGCTGCGGACTCTCGATGGCAGGTGCAAGGCGTCGCCATCTCGCGCGCGGCGGCCCTTGAGTGCGGCGCCCCTCGCGGCCGCGCTGTCGCTGGTCATGGTGGTGTGCTATCGGCGTCCAGGGGAGATACCGAGCCCCGCGCCGCAGTCCTTCCTGCCCCCGGCCCCCCGCAGCGTGGGGACCTGGGTGCTGCTGGCGTTCCCCGAGGAGGGGGGCCTGAGGAGGCAGGCGGGGGAGCGACGACAGCACCCCCCTGGGCTCCCAGAGATTCGGCTCCGAGTGCTATCGCGGTGGCGGGGATCGGGCCGCTTCCTGGACTGGGCCTGCCGCGAGTGCGTGGGCGTGTTCCGCAGGGCGTGCCTCGGCCCGGGCTGGGCGGTGGCGCCTCGCCAGGGCCCCCGCGCCGCGCCGAGTGCCTCCGAAACCGCGGGCAGGTGATGGAGAGGGGGCGTTAGCATGCCTTGACGAGCGCCCATTTTCTTGGACCCGCTTGAGGGGTGCCACCGAATTTTGCAAATGTGGCGAATCCCGTGTGTTTTTGGACCCAGACCCCGCCGATCTGTGTGAGGGATGTCAATTTTTACCCACCCCAGCAGTTCAGAGCACACGCTCAGGGCGTGGTAGAAATGCCCGTTTTGGGCCTCGCGCGCGGTCACAGTAAGCAACAAGAAGCATAATTGTAACAAGGAACGGTAAGCAGCAAGAAGCAGAACTGTAACCGTGGAGTCTGGATGCTGCACCTGGTGCAGGAAACTGCGAAGCTTCGGCCTGCAGCCTGGTGGCCCCACAAGGGGGCTGGCGGATCTTGCGGCAACTGGCCGAAGGCCGGATAGTGGCGGTGATGATGGTGGCCCTCCCTTGCTCGACTTTACCGTGGCGCGCGATTGCTTTCCTGTGCGTGATGCCCTGCGCGTCTGTGGTCTCCCAACTTTGTCTGCAGTTGACCGTCTACAGGTTCAGGTAGGAAACGCGTGGTTAGACGCACGCATCGCAGTTCTCAGAGTTTGTAAGATGCATGGGGTTCCCTTGTGCCTGGGAGAACCCTCAGGCCTCCTGGCTCTGGCAGAATCCTTTCTTCAATTGTGCAGTCGGAGAGCTCAGTAGGATTTCGATTCGTCGGTGCTCCTTCGGAACCAGATACCGCAAGGCGACCGACCTTTTATTCCAGAGCGTTGTTGATGTTGACCTTCTTCGGATGGAATCCTGGAGATTCCGCTGCACTGGCAATCGTTGTTTCTGAAGTTTGTAGTTTGGGCAAGGAACGCCTCACCTTGGTCCGTCAATGACCAGCAAGGCCGCTAGATGTCCTTCTATGTTTCCCGATTCCCTGGCGAGGGCTCTTCTCCAAGGTCATCACTGACGCCGCTCCGCCGTCCCAGGTTCTTGACCTCGTGGGGTCCTTGGGCCCCTTTTTATGAAGGGCCTGCCGTTTTGCTGTGAACGTCCGTTATTGAGGAGTGTTTCGATTTTAAACCGCAGCCTTCAAACCATATTCCATCAAGTGTTCGCCGCAGAAAATTGAGCAGCGTGTCTCTGCGTCGCAGGTGTCTGTTGAGAAGTGTTCGACTGTCGCCGTAATGTTGCTCGAACTACCCCCCCGACCTAAACGCCTGAGCGCTGATTCTGGGAGTATGGATTTCATGGCATAACCTTCAAACCATATGCTTCTGCCGGTTCTGCCATCAAGCGTTCACCGCAGAAAAAATATTCACTGCGTGGAGCTCCCCATATGTGCATCTACTCGCATGGACCTGTCCGCCGTGAATGTCTAGGCGCAAGAGCTTTCGAATATTAGCGGGCTTCAGTTGTGACGGTCTGGACATCAATCTAACTGCGAATGAATTGGAGTGTGAATGAGCCTCAGTAGTACGAGCGCGTCTCTGTGCATGAGCCTGGGGCCTCCTGGGGCCTCCTGAAACCTACTGGGGCTTCCTGGGGTCTCCAGGAGCCTCTTGGGACCTCCTGGGACATCCTAGGAAGGTTTCGTGCCCCAGGGGAGGCGCAATCTATAGCAACAGACGTACATAAAACATTGCGGATTAGAGCCGCAGGAGAAGGGCAATCTATAGGAACACGCGTAAAACACCAAGGACTCGTGCCCCAGGAGAGGCCCAATACATAGGAACATGAGTAAAACATTTAGGATTGTGTACACAGGAGAAGGACCATCTATAGAAACATACGTAGAACATCACAGAATCGTGCTCCAGGTGAGGCCCAATCGATAGGAGCATACGTAAAACACAT